CAGCAGTAAAGTGGCAAATCAAACCTTGTTTTTCTAGAACGCTGCCAGAAAGAGCAAAAAAGTCTAAGGGGAGAAAAGAATAATACAACACACACAATTCCCAACACCCCCAGGCTATTAACGAGAATAGCTATTCCTGCCGCGTTCCAAACAAACAAGTACGGCGGTCAGAATAACTATTATAAGCCCTTATACAAACGGCCCAGAGCGCAGAGAGAGGATAGTGTGAACGTTGGGGTGACACTGAGGCTGCGGGGAAATGAGAGCAACACATCAATGTGCAACGTCATGTTTTCTTTTTTTCCTCCCTCTATCATTCTTTCTTTTAGAAGAATGAGAGGAAGTGATAATCCAGCGCCCGCCCGCCCACATGCCCCTGCTCCTCTCTAGCTTGGCCCTCTGTTTGTTCAGAGAGGGGCCGATAACACTGTCGGGGGTCATGCTGAGGTCAAAGAGAGAGACCGAGTGGAAGTTCATGGGGAGGTGAAGGCGGGGCAGAGAGACAGAGCGGAAAGGTGAAACCTGGGTCATGGACGAGTTTGACACACTAGCTAGCGCAATGTGGAATGCAAGTGCATTCGGATTACAAATGACAGCAGGAAAACCTGGCCTCTTCTCGCTCCGTCTTCCCCCTCAACCTCCCTCTCTCGGTGACTCTGTATAGAACATGCCAGCGGGAAGAAGAGAGAAGAAAGGCGAAAACAAGATATGAATGCAAATCCAAAAATCACTTATCTTTTGCAGGTGCTTATCTACCATCTGTGTGTATGTGTGCGCAAATAGTCAGGAGATGTGTTGTTTGTAGCAGAGCAGGTGTCTGCATTCTTTGTTAAAAGTTTGATTTAAGCTGGAATAAAGCATTATTTGGTCATGTAAATCAGGGGTTCCCCAACTTTTTAGCCCAAGACCCCCAAAATAACAATGCCAGTGATTCAAGACCCCCAAAATTCTCTGAGATTGTTTGTATGTATATATATACACTCGGAGACCATCCTCCATGTACAGTTGTGGCTTGTATTTAGTTTTAATGCCGTAAATGTGTCAAAGTTTAACCTGGTGCCATAAAATCAATGCGGTACATCTGACTAGTTCCGTGTCTTTAATATAACGTAATCACCCGAGGGGTCGCAAAAAAATCCAAAGGTTGATGGATTTTTTATTTTCATGTTGTTTTTTTAATGTTTATTATTAACACGTTAAAAAGAGAAATGTGCGCACATCTAAAAATACCTCGAAGACAGGTGCTTGATCAAAAATAAACACTGTTGCAAAAGATCAAAAGAAAGTCAGCACACTGCCACTTTAGCTCTCAAAATATTAAAGATTTTTGAGAGCTAAAGTGACAGTGTGCCGATTTTATTTTGATCTTTTGCTATATTATTAACATGTTAACAATGTTATTATTAAATACTAGGGATGCAACAATACAGTTACAGTAGCCCACGGTTCAATACATACTTTTCTTTTTTAACACTGTTTTCGGTTCGGTTCGTTTTTTTATTATAATTTTTATAGGCAATAGGAACAGTAAAAGGTTAAGGTTAAAAAAATAAAAACGATTTATTGCAATACTCTTTTTGTATTACTTAAAAGCCAAGAAAAGCACACTAGTTCCTAGTGTATTGCATTAAAAAATTACTGAAAACACTGAAATCCCACAGCTGCGGGTAGCCCATGTACAAACTGGGGAACACATAAAATCCTACATTTTGAAAATAAACATACATGTGAAGTTAATAAAGATTGGCCATTTCAAATAAACATATTTGTACTTAAGTAAACATAAATAAACCATCTTAATTATCTCGGTGCTGAAAAAATGCGAGACTGTAGTCTGTAACGCGGATCAAGTGAATTTTTAAGATGACAAAAGCTAATCCAATCACCGAAAATGGCTGCAAATCTTTAGCAATAAACACCCGCACTGCCTTTGTTATTTTTATGTGTCACTCGGAACCAGTTAGGAAAGATTCAGTAAGGGATTGTTGCAATTTGGAGGACTTTATTACCTTCTCTGCTATCCTGCCTTCAGACAGTGATATTGCTGGGTGATGGCGCTGCAGATGTGCAGTCATGGTTATACATGTAAAACAATGCTTACCCACAGTTATTTTTTGTTCACTGTTTTTTCTTTTATTGGCATTGTACTTAATGGCAAAACCGAAATGTCCTCACACCGCAGATTTGAAAGACGCCATCGCTTTTTTTGTACTGTTGCCTCACTACGGCGGTGCATAATTTTACTGTTGCCTCACTTCACCGCCGCTCGCAATGTTAAAGTGTGGAATGATGGTCAAGCACCCCCTAACTTTAGAGCATAGTGATTGGATATTTACTCGCGGGGAGGAGTTTCCTCATCTCAGCTCATGGACTTACAGGCACACACAGTCAAATCGAGGAAATGAAATGCACAAAAATTATTTAAACGCAAAACTGAGAAAACCGCAATTCACAAGCGCGTACTGAGCATGGAGGTCGCACCGTACGGTTCAATATTATATTGAGAACCGTGACATCCCTATTAAATACTAGTTTCTTCTTCTGTAGATCATGGATAAAATATGGTAGTTCTAATAGTTTGATAAAACAAATTTTATTTTGGGAATGACTGATGTAAATCATATAATCCATTGTGCATCATCAGCGTTACAGTCATAATTGTATATTTATAATAGTATGTATTTATAATCCAATTAGGTAACACTTTTTTAATTTATATGTAAATTCTATATTTTAGAACAATATTTTATGCTATAATACTTTTAAAATATTTTATATTATAGTTACACACTATAAATCATTTAATAAGCATTAGCAAATAGTTAATTCATTGTCTGTTTAGCATTAACTACAGTAAAAGATGCTAGTAAGCGGTTTATAAACACCGCTACAAATGCTGTATTCTTTACATAAGTACATTTATAATGTTCTTTTTGTATATTCATACTTTTTACATATTAATTGTTTATTAGTAAATTTAGTATTGCATTATTTACAAACCATTTGTATTAAAGAGTAGTTGGTGGCTTTAAGAATTTCTACATTTTATTATTCAGGCATATAGTAATGGAATGTTAATTAATTCTTTATTAACTCAGCTTCATCCAGTTTTGTGATCTAATCTAAAGTGTGGACTGTTTATATATGTTTTGTAAAGCTTTTATAAATGACAATTAAAGGCTTCGTATCAAATAAACAATAAATGTTTGGAATCTTATCTAAAAAATAAATTTACTGTAAACTTTAAACATTGCTGAATAACTGGAGTGTCAAAATTCAATTTGAAATGAGTACAATTAATTAAAATAGGATAAAACAACAACATTAACTAATAAAGTTAAATTAATAAAGTCATTTATTTCCTTTTTTCCTGTTTAGAATATAACTGAGCTTTTAATTGTCGTTTGTCACTTTAGATTAGGTCACAAAACTGGATAAAGTTATTAACATTCAAAATAACTATTAGTATATGCCTGAATAATAAGATAGATTTGAATAGCTTAATAATCATTTACTTATTTATATTTTCGGATTTATCTTAAAATAGCACAAACTATTTTTAAATAATTAGTTTTTAAACAATGCAATACTTTACTAATGAAAAAATAATCATTAACAAAGTATGAATTTATAATTATTAAACATATTATAAATGTGCTAATGTCAAGAATGCAGCATTAGTTGCTGCTTACTAACATCTATAAATGGAGAGTTATTACTTAAAAGAAAATGAATTAACAATTTGCTAATGCTTAATAAATGAATCATAGTGTGTAGTTATTATGAAGTGTTACCCATAATTATAACAGTTTTGTATATATTGCGGTTATTGTGGAATTGACATAGACATTCCATAAAACAATTTTATTAACCATAGACACAAGAAGCCTGCTTTGCAACGAGGAAGTGCAACAATCATGAACAAAGACGCTTCCAATTGAAAACAACAAAAGGCCAGTTGTTGTTTATAGAGATTATTTTAGTGTATTGAAACAGTTGTACGTGGGCAACAGACCACTGTTTGTTTTGAAAAAGTTCTGTGTGAACTGTGCTTTATATATTGCTGCTGAGCTATATTTTGCTAGTGAAAGTGTAAATGTTTGCTCCACTTCTTAACAGACCTTTGTCCACATGTATACACTTCACTTGGCTTTAGCTTTGTGTACTATTTAATTCGTCCAGGATTTTGTCAAGTCTAGTTGTTCTTGAGATAATAAAAAGAGCAAAACACAAGAATTGAACTAAATAATGCCATAGTGTTTAAGAAAGATGGTTACAAAATCTGTCATTTTAGGCCGCAAATATGAAAGAATATCCCTGAGGGACTGATTTGTGGTGGAAAAACAAAGGGAAATGTGGTATATATTTAGTCCTACAAAAATCCAGTGTATAATGGTAAAGACACAGGCTAAATCATATTACAGAACATTTTCTTCCATCATGAGTGCATATATATTTTCCCTTGCGCTGTTGAATACAGAACTTGTTTTATAGTCGCTAACATTTTTTTTTCTCTTGGCAAGTTTGATGACATGTTTGATAGTGTTTGTTTGCATTCCCAGCACTGAATCTGCGTCTAAATGTGTGTGTTTGTTCGACTGGGTTTGTTTGGGAGGGAGGAATGTGCTCTGTTGTTTATTGAGCCAGTGCTGAGGGGTGCATTTTTGGCTAGGCTCCAGCAAGGTCAGTAGCTGGCCGGGTCAATCACGGGTCATTACCGGCCCATTATCGGGTCAGGTCCGGGTCAGAAAGAGCCGTGCATTCAGGGTGAAAGAGTGTAAATGGCTGTTCTCTCTTTAACCTCACTCCATTCTCCTCTAATCCCCTGCTTTGTCATGTTGCTTTCCCCTGTGTCTCCTCTATAATCTCATTTAAGAGGCCCTGCTCACTTACGTAACATTGGGAGAAGTGAACTGGCCTGATCTAACAAGGGCAAGCGATGGTGTTTAATGAACTTTAATGATCTTCCTTTGTTTTCTCTGCTGTCGTTCTGTTTTTAGTTACTGGATCTCTTCACTCAGTGGGACTGGTCCACATATCTGGCTGACTACGGCCGACCCACCTGCAAATACCTGCGAGTCAATCCTCACACAGCTCTGGCCCTCTTAGAGAAGTGAGTAATCTACTGACCCCTCACTCTTCTTTTCACTTAATAAAGCATATGCACTTCTTTTAAGACATCACAGATTTGTTTTTTTCCCTTCTCATCTGTCATCATGTTTATTCATGAACAGGATTTCTCGATCGTAAGTACTCTGCATTTTGGGTATGGTGTGAAGAGAGTGTCCTTACAGTACATCTATGATTTTCATGAAATATCTAGATGTCATTTTACCCCTACTGTATGTGAAAAATCATCTTGATGAACAGCCACAAAGCCAAAAAGAGCAGAACCTGCCATGTGCCCTGTTGTTGTTTACAAGACCATCTAAAAGCATGAGTGGTTTCACTTTATCTAGAGAGGTCTGTAGGCTGCGCTTGCCGCACATCCATTTTTAAAATAACAAACTCCTTGAGCTGTATATGTTTCGTATAGTTTAACATTTATACACAAGTAGATCTATTCATGTGTATAGAGCACCTGTTTGTAGATGATATGTTAACAACCCGTACAGTGATGTAAAGTAACATTTTACAAAATCCCAAACTACTGTAATTGAGTAGTTTTTCTCAGAAATTGTACTTTACCCAGCAGGTTTAAAAATGTGGACTTTTACTTTCTATTGAGTACATTTTTTTGGGCATTAACGGTACTTTTACTCAACTACTTTTCTTCAACCTGCAGTCAATACTTTATTTAGAAAAATTAGTCATGTGATTCCTGTCAAATCACACATTGAAAATAAGGTAAATTGCATCATTATGAACCACCTCAAGACGTGCGATTTGTAATTGCAGCAAACTGTTTGGAAGCATTAAAAATGTCCAAGAAGATGTCCAAAATCTCTACATGCAATGACCCAGAGACTGTTTAGATGCATGTCACTGATGAAAAGATGATAGATGTTTACTGTAGGATGACCGAAATGGCTTTAAACAAGCAGCAGGCATAAGAAGTCAACATGACGTCAGAATGACATTTTACCCCAACGTCGTGTTTGTAAATGAAAATCAGTTTGACATCAGAACCCAAGGTTAAGCTGACATCAATGTCCAACGTCTAATGAGCTTGATGTTGTGTGGATGTTACCACTACTACATCTATCAGACGTTGGATTTTGGTTGCCATACCTGACAAATACATGTCAGTATTTGACATTGGTTTAAGATGTTGGCCTGACGTTGGATTTTGGTCACTAAAATCAACGAAATATCAACATCATTTAAGGTCATTATTGGACATCAAAATATCGTTGTCGTTTGACGTTGACTAAACTTGAATTTTTGTCACCTGACGACCTAAATCTAACCTAATATTACGCCTTGTTGTGGGCCTGCTGGGCAATAACTAAATGCATTACAGAATGTTACATTTACACACATCCACAAATTACATGTAAATGCATCTGCACTTTTCTCTCCATAGACTTCCATTTACAGATTTATCATGCAACAAGTATCGCAGTTCGCTGCGGTGCAAAGTTCAAGCTTCAAGTTCAAGTGATCTGCGAAATCTCACCATGTGACAGCGTGAGACTAATCAATGATCCAAACATGACCTTTTTGTACAGAAGTTTAAAAAATAAGGACCAATCGCTTGCTTTTTAAAATGTCTAATCATCCTGTCCCTTTTCGCAGCGCCGCACAACAGAAATTTGCTCTTAAGTACTTTTGTACTCAAGTAGTTTTGAAATGTCTACTTTTTACTCCTACTTTGAGTAATATTTACAACAGATACTTTTACTCTACTTGCACTACATTTTTGGGGAAGTAATGGTACTTTTACTTAAGTATGATTTTTTCAGTTTTGTTTCCACCACTGGACCCGTAAAGCACGTACACGACGACCAACAAAAGTTGCATTTCCAAATAAAAGTGGAAAGAACTCCAATGCATAATTATTGTTTTACAATCAAGTGTAGGACATAAAAGAGTAAAGTTATTTGTGCATAGTCATCGTAACAACAAAACAGATTGTGCTTTGGTATAAAAAAAAAGAAAAAAAAAAGAACAAACATGAAATCATGAAATCTGCGTTGGCGGTTGCAAGTCACAAATTCACAAAGCCTTTTCACACATTTCCACAATGTTAAATTTTGGTGTTGGGATTTGTTAAATCACCTGTCAGTCAAACTCATGGCGAAGTCTCATTTATGCATATATTATTCCCACATTCACTGATTTGTAAAACAAATAAATATTTTGTTTAATGCAGTAGTAATGAAATTTGTCCATGTAAGGTGTGAAAGAAAGCATGAAACCAATAATTGATCAGATTAAGATATTTATACTTGTAGTATACAATGTACTTTACAGGAAAAAAACAACAACAACAACAACAACGTTTATCTGTCTACATGCACATTAAATAATTATCACAAATGTTTACCTGCATTGTTCCTTTAGATTTTGGGGTAAAATGAGACCTAGACATTTCTAATTTTATTTATTTATTTATTTATTTATTTAAATGCCCAGTCACATGATCATTTTATGTTGGAAAGGTTCATTTCGTCTTGTGATTTTATTTGATTATATATGACCTAGAGTTTGTTAATGTTAGCGTTTTGCATGTTGTTGATTGATAATGGTTATGGTTTGCTGAAAGTATGCATTCTTCAGCGTTGTGTATGTGTGTGTTTTCTTTCTTTTTCCCCCATTCCCAGCCCCGACTGTCCTCTTGTGTCAGTGATATAGAGCAGCAGTGGATTGGCATTACAAAACTCTCTCTCTCTCTCTCTCTCTCTCTCTCTCTTTCTCTCTCTCTCTCTCTCTTTCTCTCTCTCTCTCTCTCTCTCTCTCTCTCTCTCTCTCTCTCTCTCTCTCTCTCACGCACAAACCTGCCCAATCCCCATTTGAGCTGCACTTACCTCAGCCTTACCCTCTTGCCCCTCTGTCTCAGTGAAAGTGATCTGTATTATTTAGCTTGGCCAAGGTTAGCACGCCACTAAACACAAATGCAGTGTGTGTTTCTGTGTTCTTGGCTTCTTTAAGAGAAAAGCTTTCCTTTATTGGAGTTTACTTGAAAAGGCAATGCTTTTTAGTAGCTCGCAGAGAGGAAATGAAGATTAAATATAATAATATGAGTTTTAGCTTGTTTAAAAAAAAGCTCTTTCAGTAAAATCTTGATAATTTCTACGTGGAATAACCATCTAAACTCAAGTCAAGTCAGCAGTAATCTTTTACAGTTGCCCGTTCCATGTATTAGAGTCAGTTTACAATGCACCACTTCAGAAGTTGGATTGAAGCACATTCTCTATTCAGCTAAGCAAGTCAGAATACACTGTATGTACTTGCTGAAAGCACATATGGAAATTGTACTTGTCCTAAAACTGTCAAAAATAAATGTGTGACAGCTTTTATTGTATACCCAGAAGACAAATATCGTGACACTACCGCAACATGCATTCTCACAGATATGGACCTCCACATATAAATGCTTCTCTTCGGTAAGCAGATGTGCAACTAGCCTAAAAAACAAAGAGAGTTTGCTATCGCATTCTGCAGTCATCTTCCCAAGTTAAAAGCCTACATTTTTTTTATATCTGTCTCCTGTAGTGATATTTACTCTTGAAATGAGCTCATTATAAATAAAATCAGCACACTTTGTTGCTTTTGGAAACTTGTGATGTAGATTTTCCATAACCTGTATCAGAGTTCATTACTTGCCCTGCCGGTTAGCTACAACCCTGATTAAACCAGCTTATCTGAGATTTTCTAATAGTCCTAAAGACATTATTTAGTGTGCTCGGTTGGGTTTGATATTATTGTGTTTGACAGCTTAACTCGGCAGATAAGTAGATCTCATGGTCAAGCTTCGATTGAACTCTTGCATATAGCATAAGAATACAGGATCTGTTGTATACTCATTTAGGTCCAATTCTATTCAAGTGTCAGGAATTCAAGTGTCATGGAGTGACATGTGAAAGTATTTTGTGGGAATACTATACAGAAGTTATTATTATGGATTATAGATAGCAAAATGTAGCGTTTTTTATAGTTTTTTTTTTAAGCATGATGGTAAAACAAAAACGCCGTTATGAATGTATTAAAACGTATGCTTGTTTGTTGTAAAAAATTGTAATTATAACAAACAAGGGGGAAGGGGAAGGGCTAATAGAATTGGGATTGGACCTTAGCAGAGAGACATTAACAAAATTAACAAAAGTTAGTTGTAACAAACTGGATAACGGTCTAATCAGTATACAGTATATAGTGCTTTGAAGAGGCACTTTGTTATGATAAGACTGTAATTAGATAAGAAGCAAAGTTGTGAATTTGGTATGCTTAAAGTACAAGTATTGGCACTGACATTTATTTATTTATTCATTCATTCATTCATTCATTCATTTATTCATTTTTTTGTCGGCTTAGTCCCCTTATTAATATGAGGTCGCCACAGTGGAATGAACCGCCAACTTATCCAGCATGTTTTCACGCAGCGGATGTCCATCCAGCTTCAACCCATCTCTGGGAAACATTCACACACACACTCATACACTACGGACAATTTAGTCTACCCAATTCACCTCTACCGCATGTCTTTAAACTGTGGAGGAAACCGGAGCACCTGGAGGTAACCCACGCGAACGCAGGGAGAACATGCAAACTCCCCACAGAAACGCCAACTGAGTCGAGGCTCGAACCAGCAACCCAGCAACCTTCTTGCTTTGAGGCGACAGCACTACCTACTGTGCCACTGCGTCACCCTGGCACTGACATTTAATTTTTTTTAAAGACTCTTGTGAAAAGTTGACTTTTTTTTATTTAGAATGAAGACGTTACATAGACTGATAATTGTTTGTTTTGTTTTATTTTAAGGACTCTAAGTTCTCTTCAAAAACCTATTTGTGTTACACACAAACATTACACACAGGTTTGCTTACATCAAGAATAAACATGACTTGTGCCGAGCACAGTTTGTTTTCTTCAGTGAATTATCGGCAACCAAGAGCATCAAACCATCAAAATTCAAGAGACATTTAAAACCCCATAAAGACTAGTGTGTCAAGCTAATAATTTTAGTTCACAATAAACAATTTTCACTAAAGTCCAATGTAAAATCCTTGCTTAAAGCAAAACTGTGTCTCTGTCTGACTCCATTTCAAAACTCTTGTTTGGTGAACTCCAGAAGGAGGTCACAAATTTTCATGCTCAACATTGTAGGCATTGCGCACTATGAGGAGGTGTTTCTTATCACCACCATAGTCACAGGTGACTCTAAGATAAAGCTGTGATGCGTACCAGTATGGCAATACAGTCATGCGTATGTGTCATGGCTATCTTGCCTAATTACTTTTAATAAATAAGATTGACAGAGTTTGTTTATTAAGTTGAATTAGTGAGTGGTGATTAAAATGCTTCGCTAACAGACTCACTTTTTTATTTTTGTAAACAGAGTTACTGTATTCGAAAGGCCCTTATTCTAAACCTAGTAGTTTTTTATGGATTCTATGAAATCTGTGAATGTTATTAAAATGGTTTGTTGCAACAAAGTTTAGGTTCACCATTTTCTAGATTTTTCCCTACTATTAGTCATCCTAAAATCAGAATTAGCAACTCTTCTATTTTTGGCTATGATGCAAATTTCCAAGAGGCGTCAACCCAAAAATATTGTTTTTAAGTACTAAATTAGCACATCCTAATGACTTCTGAAGGATAATGTGAATAGACAGTTCAGCGGTTCACTCTCATTTACCCTCACTCATCTCATTAAATTTCATCAACTATTTTCCCTAATATACTGCCCTTACATTTTCAAGCTGAGGATGATAGACTATACACATCAAAAGAATGTTTTTTTTCAATGCCTGAATGATGATGCGTCACTTTGGTATTTTGTCAGCCTGGTGCTGAGAGCAGTGCCACGGTTTGGCTGGTTGTGAATGTGAGGAATGTGTATGCATTGGCTGGGTGATCCCCAGGCTACTGGGAATGAGAGTTTGGCACAGATGGCAGGAAAGTGAGCAGGCTCATTAGAACCTCTTTGCAGGATAGCTTCAAGGTTCCTGCACTAAAGCACCCTATGAGTGTGTGCCTTAACCACACAGTCTGTGCCCTTCCTTTAGTTCTTTAGTTGTGCAACACGCTTTAACTGGCATGGCATGATTTCTTATGTTACTTTCAGGTTGTATTAATTATAATAATTTAATAATTCCTTGCATTTATGTAGCGCTTTTTTTGGACACTTAAATAGCTTTACACGGCTTTTGAGGGGAATCTACTCGACCACTACCAGTGTGCAGCATCCACCTGGTTGATGCAATGGCAGCCATATTGTGCCAGACTGCACAGCTGATTGGTGGAGAGGAGACAAAGTGATGAAGCCAATTACGATATGGAGATAGTCAAGAGGCCAGTGGGCGAATTTGGCCAGGATGCTGGGGTTAAACCCCTACTCTTTTTGGAAGGACATCCTGGGATTTTTAATGACCTCAGAGATTCAGGACCTCAGTTTAAAGTCTCATTCAAAAGACGACGATCACTGAGCAGTAAAGAGTCCCCATCAATATACTGGGACGTTAGGACCCACACAGAGTACAGGCCTCGCCACTTACACCACTTTTTGCAAGAAACCTAGCTTTCTCATGTGGTCTCCCAACCAGGTACTGACTGGGCGCAGCCCTGCTTGGCTTCAGGTGGTGACCATGTGAGAGTTGCAGAGAGCTAGCTGTCAACTAAATTATGCATTTTGTTGGATTGGGCTGTAGTGAACCCATGCTACTTTTTTGTTCTCTATTTGTTCTAGTCAAAGTTCAGAGTTTTTATGCATACTCTATGAAACAACTGTTCAAACAATATATTTTTAAATGAATTGCTTTTGGTTGCTTTTGGTTGATCTCTGATTATCGACAGGTTATTGTCCTGCAGTTGTGTCAGTAACGCATCTTCAGAAAAGAGATGTAGTTACAAGAGAAATGTATTTTAGTTAAATGTTCTGAAACAAATTGGATATCAGCACAGGCTGCTTACATGTACAGCCCGATTTTAATTAATTGATTTTTTTTTTTTTTTAGATTTAAAAAATTACTTATTTTACTAATTATTCGTCTACAGGGTAACAACACATTATTTGGGGGGGGGGGGGGGGTGTTGATAGAAAGAAAAATAAACATAAACCATTTGATTAATGAGTGCTTTTGTGGGTGAATTAAAGGTCCTATGAAATTAAAATAAAATGTTGTAAGATGTAAGTTTTAGTCTGTTAGTTTTAAGGACATCTATATGTTGGTGTGCTCCAAAACTGTGACAAAAATCACATTTAGAACATTTAAAACCGATATAAACATGTAAATCTTGCAGTTTGTCATTTCTGTCTAAATAAATCAACAATTTTTTCCACCTATCCTCAAACTTCAGTTTCTCATCAAATCCTGACCAATCAAATACTCTCTAGTATCTGACATGCCCCGCCCCCTTCAAGACCCTTCACATTTGCTTTTCATTTGATGCACAAGATCTCAATCACTCTCACTGGCAGAGCTGTGAGAAAAAACAATGCCATTGGCTGATTTGGTAAAAGGGGACGAGCTACTCTGTCCCACCTTCTCTTCATTTTTTCAGCTGGCATTATGACAACATCGAGTAAAAAAATGCACATTTCAAAGATCTTCAAGGGTCCTTTAAAGATTCATACAACTATCGTTTAAACAAATACAAAGACATTTTATCATAAATAAACTTTAGAGAAAGCACAGCCATTGGGCAAGAATCTTTCTAGAGTCCATCCAGTTTTTTTTTAACCATATTTGACCATTGAGTTGTATCTGTCTGTTTTTATTATCTAATGTTCTCATATGCTTCATTGTGTGCAGGATGAAGGACACCAGCCGCAAGAACAACATGTTTGCCCAGTTCCGTAAAAACGAACGGGACAAGCAGAAGCTCATAGACACCGTTGTCAAACAGCTGAGAAATCTCATTGCCTCCAACCAAGCCTGAGAAAGCCAATGCTTCAGCGAATGACCCCACGTCACGATGAGCGTGTGGACTGCTCTGGCACATCTCTAGTAGCTGGACGTATTATTCTTTTCACACAGACATTTGCACTAACATGCGCATATAGATGCACCTCTATGAAAGGTGCGTCTGCTAAACCATCCCGTGCCTGTGTGATGCGGTGTCCATGTCTTCCTGCGGGACTGTCTCAACACATTAAGGACACCAAATCACATTTTGCTCTTTGGTTGTGTTTTATTATTTGTGTATTAAGCGTCTTACAACAGAACCGTTTTTCCATCACACTAATTTGCTGTCATACGTTGAACTGCCTTTATATGTAGTTCTTAAGTATTATTTATCCCCTTTTTTCAATTTTCAGCTACAGTTACACTATAATGTGAATATTAAATTGCAGAAAATTGGAACACTAACTAGGCTTGAATATTGCTGTTGTGATGTCTTACAGATCAAATTTAAAAGGATCGTTCAACCACATATGAAAGTTCTGTCATGATTTATTCATCGTTTCTTTCCTCTGTGGAACACAAATGTGTTTTGAGAAATGCGTCTAAGTGCTTCTAAGCATTTCATTTTGTGTTCTTCAGAAGAAGGTTGAACAAGAATAAATATCTTCAATATCTTTGAGAATAGGAAATAATATTGTCATTTGAGGGGTCAAGGGTTCATCTGAGTGCTAATCATAATGAGGGACGTTTGATGGAGTTCTTAATACAAGGAGTCCAGTTACTGCCCTTGTTAAATCTTTCATTTGTAGTAATTGTATACTAGACATTCAGTACTTCAGCTTTTGTCTGTTACAGCCAAGATGTAGATTATACTGTAGCTTAATACCTTTTGACCTAAGAAGATTAGTTCGCAGTCAAAAACATGTTTTTGATTGTACTTCCAATATGCAGTATATGGACGCACTGTATGTCTCTTGTAGTCAGATATATCACCCAGCATTCATTGCAAGAACTGAGTGAAGATGTGTAAAGTGGAGGAACTTGATGAAATGATGCAGGGTAATAGCACAATTATACAGTCACATTGTACATTAAAACTAATATAAAATGCTTTTAGTATTTAAACCATGTTGTCTTCCCTTAACGGTAATATTTCTACTGATAGGATTGCGGGTGCAATATTACATGCCATTTTTCCTTTTCAAATTCAAAGAGTTTTAGGTAGCAAAGATTGTTTGTTTGTTTGTTTGTTTAAAGGGAGTTTTTTTCTTTTCATTTTACTTTGTGTATTGAAGCCTGTCGCTTACAATGGATGCAAACTATAAAGGGAATTCTTCATGTTTAGAGACGGAACAAGCACAGTGTCAAATTATTTCAGGCTGTTTTCTTGGTTCAGCTCTTCCTGTTTGTGCCTTGACTTTTTTTCCATGCCAATAACTGATTTCCGCACAGCACCTGGATGTATAAGCAAGGTATGGACGTGTGTTGGTGTGTGTGAGTGTGCATGAGGACATTCAGCCTTAGCGGACCACTCTGGTTGTAGAGAGCAGAACTGACTCCAGAGAAATGCACTGTACAGATTGTTATTTTAAACCACTTATGAATATTACAATACTAATAAATTTAGCACATGCCAGCAAATGCGTTATACATCAAAAACGTGTGCTGTACTTTTATTTTGCATCCCATTTTTAATGTGGCACAAAGAAATGGATTGAGAACGGGGCCAAAACATGAAAATACACAAATGCCTTGTTTTTATTTGACATGTTTTGTTAGTTTTGTAATTGGTTTGATTCATTTTTTGGAACACATTACAATAAGGTTTAATTCTTTATCACTGGTCATCTTCTCAAGGTGAGCTGAAAGATTTTGACCTACAGTACTTCATATGCTATTGATGCTAACTGATACTGATGCACTTACCCTTCAAGACCACGGAAGATTTTTTGGCACCAAGACATCTACAGATAATTTAAGTCAGGTAGGTTGCATCAATCCTGTGTGATATAATTATAAACCCACAGATGCCTAATTAGATTCATCTTTGTCAAAGCATTTCTGATCTGTAAGTGCATGTGTGGCAGTTCATTATCCTGCAGAAAGAGGCCTTATCCACCAGGGAATGTCACTGTCATGAAGGGCTATACTTTGTCTCCAACAGTGGTTTGTCCACATGAATGGCTGGTGCCAGGATTATCTGGCAAAACATTGTCCATAGAGTCATGCTTCCTCCAACTGCTTGTCATCAGCCACAGTGCATCACTTCCTCAGGTAAACAGCACACAGCCATCCAGATGATGTCAAATTAAACTGGATTTATTGGACCAGATAACCTTCTTCCACTGTGCTTATATCCAGTTCTGATGCTTGTGTTCTTGTAGGCAATTTTGAAGGATTGCAGTTGTCTTAGAAATTCTGCTGAACAGGATCAAACCTAACATGTGACCTAACATCAAGTAATGTTATTGAAGATTTAAAAAAAAAAAAAAAAAAAAAAAAAATATATATATATATATATATATATATATATATATATATATATATATATATATATATATATATATATATATATATATATATATAATATATGTATATATTTCTCAGTGGTAAGTCATTTTAGTTAACACATTAATTAATGGTAACAAATGAGACCTTAAACATGCAGTCAAAGACAGGATTATTTGCCCTCCAGTGAAATTTGTATTATTTTTCAAATATTTCTAAAGTTCTGTCTAATTGAGATTTTTTTTTACACATTTTAAACAAGAGTTTTAATAACTTATTTCTAATAGCTCATTTCTTTTGTCTTTGCCATGTGCATAAATTTTGTAAGGTACTAGTACTAAGCTTAAAGACTAACCTAAGTTAATTAGGTAATTAACATGTTAAAGGCTGATTTATAGTTCAGCGTTGAGTGATCGGTGTGACCCACGGCTCCTGCCTTGCACGTAGTTGTGCCTTTATACTTCTGCGTGATGTTTGTGTTGCTCTGCAATAACACTTTCAAAACGCTAGCTGGCGTTAGGTTTTTATGTTCCTCTGTGTTGAGTTTCTTCACGGGTGTTGTTTATTTCTGAATGCTACAAGTATCTAACACGCACTTATTCTGAGGCAGGAACCGGAGGACGTGCAACAACTTTAATCTTGAGGTGAACACAAAACAAAGCTTCCATCTGGAGCTCGTTCACGGGACTCAACACTTAAATAATAGCTCTATTGGGCTCGTGGCTCTGAGCACCGCCCACACTTGTCACCGCTACCAAACCTACCTGGGCTTTGCGACCGTGCAAAGACTGCTCCGGACCATGTGCGCTTGACGCAGAAGTATAAATAAGCCATAACAGTGGTTTGTTCAGAAAATAAACGAGAAAAAAAATCTTAAGGGGGCTAATAGTAGATTTTAAATTTGTATTTTTTTTTTCAGGCAAATTAAAATCATAATAATTTCTTATATATAGGAAAATTTAGTAGGTAATACTGTGAAAACTCTCCTTGCTCAGTTAAGCATCAGGAAATAGTAAAATCATCAGGAAATATTTGAAAAATTATTCAAATTTCACTGGAGGGCTAATGATTTTGCCTTTACATGTATATTGCACTCAAAAAAAGTTTTTGCTTGATGCTTGTTCAAACTACTTACTTAAAATGAGTCAACACAATTCCTGATTTCTCTAAGAGCAATATGACTGTTTTAAGTTCAGTTCATTTACATTTGTTAAACCAATTAAGTTAACATATTCATTTGTGGTGACACAACATGAAGGAATCATTGAACCCAGCATTTTTTCACTGTGGTTTCTGTTTTAGGATTTTTTGTTCATTAAAAAGTACAGCCTAAATTTTCAAAAGCTGCACTTTTCTCCCCAAAGGCGCCATATTGATATTTTTAAGATATGGATTAGTTCTTAAAAGTACAAGTGTGTTCCTCTTGTAAAGGTACCACCCCAGTCTACCTTTATTTTTGTGAGTGTAGTATATACACATGAAGTAGGAATGTAAAATAAAGATGTGGAAAAGTAACTGAAAAATAAAATATGCTGAGGTTCTTCTATTTTTTGTTTAACTTCAAATTCACTCACTGTAAATCAGGGGTGTCCAAACTCAGTTGTGGAAGGCCTGTGTCCAGGAGAGTTTAGCTCCAACCCTAATCAAACACACTCGAACCAGCTAATCAAGCTCTTACTAGATATACTAGAAACCTCCTGGCAGGTGTGTTTAGGAAAGTTGGAGATAAACTCTCCAACACAATGGCCCTCCAGGACGGAGTTTGGACACCCCTGCTGTAAGTGAATTGAATTCAGTTAAGAATACCAGCCCTGGTCCAGTTATGCTCTAATGACAAATATAACAGGGTGTCTGCAGGGTCTTAAAAAGTATTAAAAGTTGATAAATCAATTATGAGAAAATTAAGGCCCTTAAAACATATTTAAAAAATCTTAATCACGTTTTTATGTGGTCCTAAATTTTGTTCAAATGTTGTCCAAGTGTTTGACTCAAAAATCATAAATATATTTATTTTCCTCCTAATTTTAACAACAGTGTACTCAACCCACGCGATTGGTTCAGGCCGGAGCATGCCCTGTCAAGCTTCAGAAGGTGAAGAGACGCTATCCACATGTAGCGAAACTGATGGGAATGGGAAGTTTTATTACTCCTGGTTGGAGAAAGACGAGTTTAAACAGTGGCTGAAGCCTGTCACATTATGTTGCATGGTTTTGCTTCAGTGATTTATTTAACTACAATTGTTTATTAACAACTGTTTATTAAGTTAAAGGTTTGAGACTGATTAGAACTTGAAGTAACGATAAGGTCTTAAAATATTCTGAGATGGTCTTCTTAAATCTTAAAAGAAATTGAAATTACCTTTATGGTTCTTGCATATACCCTGTATAAACTTGACCTGAACGTATGATGTGTTTACAATGACATAAAGTATGTATTTTGTTATATGCTTGACTTGACAGTGTGATCAGATGAGACCTTAGATGACCTAGAAGCAGCTGAAACGCTTCACATGGCAGAACTCTTCTCTCATTCATTTTCTCAATCTTCCGCCTTTTCAGTGCGACACAAAACCTGCCTTGCACAAAACTGTATAATCGCTGTGCCATCATGCAGTGAGCGATATGCCCCCTGCCCCCAGCATTGATGTTAGTGTGTGGAGGACATTACTGAACTGTGACCACTCCACAAACCCAGTTTCCTCTTCCACGGTTTCATCCTCTCAGAAGAGACACCGTGGCCCTCCGGCTCTGCTGATCCCCCACGTTTTGAGGCAAAACAAATCTTTTGGGGCTCACTTGAGCGCGACAGGCTTTTTGTTAGGGTTCAGGAACCGAGGATTGCCAGCTTATAACCGGATGATGAATCCTGCCTCCTACTGCCCTTCCCAGTGCCCGTCTCTCCCTCCCTCACCAGTGGCGAAGTTCGGAAGTTCTGGCAGCTTCAGCCCCATTGAGCCAAATGTAAACTGAAGATAAATTGTTTCTACTTACGACCCAAGATAAAGGACTTGCTTCAATGATTTATACTTTTGTCATAAACCCATGGCGAGGGAGTTTGGGGATCCAGCTCTCTTGGAAAGTTTTCTGTAACACTTCAGTGCGCTGTAATTGTATGCTAGACGTCTGCAGACAACGGTGACTTCATTGAGTTAGAGATGATTTGAAGAGCTGTTCGCCGTTTGATTCTGTTATTTAACCTTCCCAGCCTAAGGATACGATGGAGCAGGAGACTCTATATTTTAAAAAGCTGAGTGTTTCATTTTAAGCCTGACCTATAATAACACGCTTGTGGGATCAAATTCGTGTATACATATGGTCTTTCAAAAGTTTGGGGTCAGTAAATTATTATTATTTTTCTGCTCATGGATATATAAAATTGATTGCAGTAGAGGCTTTTACATTTCTGCGAAAAGATTTTGATTCCAAATAATTACTCTCCTTTTAGACTTTCTATCCACTAAAACGAACCTGCAAAAGGGTCACAGCTTCTTGTTTAAAAAAAAAAAGATGGACTAATCCACTCAAAGGTGACACGGTGGCTCAGTGGCTAGCACTGTCACAGCACAGCAAGAAGGTAACTGGTTCGAGTTCTTGCTGTGTTAGCTGGGGTTTCTGGCATGTTCTTACTGTGTTTGCATGGGTTTCCTCCTGGTGCTCTGGTTGTGCTATTGGTGAATTGAACAAGCTAAATTGTCCATAGTCTATGTGTGTGAATGAGTGTGTTTGAATGTTCCCCACTTCAGTTCATTCCACTATGCTGACCTCAGAAAAATAAAGGGACTAATCCAAAGGGAAATGAATGAATGAATAATCCACCTAAAATAATTTGCTGTTTATTTACTCCCCATTGAGGTGATGTTTTTAGAACGTTAAAGACATTTTATAGCTGAAACTATAAATGTGTCATTGGTGAATCCAGTGGTTAAAAAAAACTAAAACAAAGGCTATACAGGCAAAACCATTATTTTTAACTTAAATCAAACTCTGAAATAACCAGTTCATGGAAAATAACGCTTCACAAGACAGGAGCTACATGTACGGTTTAAGTCAGAATTATTAGCCCCCCTGAATTATTAGCCCCTTGGTTATTTTTTCCATAATTTCAGTTTAACAGAGAGAAGATTTCTAAATCACTTTTCTAAACAATCATTT